GGAGGAGGAGGAGGAGGAGGAGGAGGAGGAGGAGGAGCGGGGAATGAGAATTATGGGGCCCTTAGTACTCTCTGAGCTTGGTGGTTTTATTGCAGACATTCCATGACCCAGCTAGGGAACCTCATCAGTGCTAGAAAGGAGTGGGGATTGCAGAGAGGAGGAGGAGGAGGAAAATAGACAGAGAAAGGGAAGAAGAAAGCAGTGGAGGAGGACTGTAGGTTTCTTGGTCTCCCCTGAACTTGGTGGTTTTCTTGGAAGACGTTTCACGACCCAACTAGGGAACATCATCAGTGCTAGAAGGAAGTGGGGTTTGCAGGGAGGAGGAGGAGGAGCAAGAGGAAGAGGAGGAGGAGGACAACGATGACAGTGGGATCCTTGGTGCTCTCTGAGCTGGGTGTTTTCTTGAAGACGTTTATTGACCCAGCTAGGGAACCTCATCAGTGCTAGAAGGGAGGTGGCGAGGAGAAGGCTTGGAGGGAGCTCTGCTGGCTGGAGAATTCTGAGAGTTGAAGTCCACGTATCTTAAAGTGGCCAGGTTTGGGGACCCCTGCTCTAGGCTTATGACCAGGTGGCTTCTCCCCTCCCTCCCCATCCAGGAGAACATCGGGGGCTGGGACCCAGCGTGTCCAAGGTCCGGAGCCTGAAGATGGACAAGAAGGTCTGGACGGAGGAGCTGATTGAGGTATCGGTCGGGAGTTGGGTTGCCCAATGGCCTTCTCTCTGGTGGCCTGGACAGAGGTTCTCCTCCGTTGGGGCAAGAAAGTGCCCGGGAAAGGCCAGGTGCAGCCGGGGGGTGGGTGGGGGGTGGGTCAACACCTGGGCTCTGTCTGTCCCGAAGGCTTCTGGGCAAGAAGGCTGGTAAACTGAGGCAAGGGAGGCCGTTTGGTGGAGACACAAGGTTAGAGGGACCAAGTTAAAGCAGGGAGATGGGGAGTTCTAGTCCTGCCTTAGCCATGAAAGCTAGCAGTGTGACTCTGGGCCAGGAGACGGTGAGTTATAGTCCTGCTTTAGGCAGGAAAGCCGGCTGGGAGACTTTGGGCCAGTCACCAGGAGACGGGGAGTTCTAGTCCCACCTTAAGACAGGAAAGCCATCTGGGTGACTTTGGATCAATCACCAGGAGACTGGGAGTTCTAGTCCTGCCTTAGCTAGGAAAGCCAACTGGGCAACCTTGGGGTCAATCACCAGGAGACTGTGAGTTCTAGTCCTGTGCAAACTGCATTTATGACGGTTGCTGCGTCCCAAGTTATGGGATCCCCTTTTGCGACCTTCTGACAAGCAAAGTCAGGGGGGGGAGCCAGATTCACTTAACAACCATATCACTAATTTAACAACGGTGGTGATTCACTTAACAACGGTGGCAGGAAAACAGGGCAAACCTCACTTTAACAAATTTCTCACGTAACAAATCTCTCACACATTTGGGGCTCAGTGTCGGCTGTAAGTTGAGGACCACCCTGTATAGGGTCTCCTGCTTGAGCAGGGGGTTGGACTAGAAGACCTCCAGGGTCCCCCCCAACTCTTGTTCTTCTGTTAAATACACGCCAGTTGCTAAGCGCCCAAATTTTTATCGCCTGGCCAGAGGGATGCCGCAACGGTCGTTAAGTGCGGAAGAAACCTAAAGTCCTAAGTCCCTTTTTGGAACAGTCACTTTGAATAGTCACTAAATGGATTGTTGTAAGTTGTAACTCCCAAAGGGAGAGGCATAGATTGGGACTTTGGGTGGGGATCTTCATCCCTGGAGGGCTTTCAAGGAGAGACTGGACTGCCATCTGTCAGAAACGGTGTAGGGTCTCCTGCTTGAGCAGGGGGTTGGACTAGATGACCTCCAAGGTCCCCCCCAAACTCTACTCATCTGTTAGAATCGCAAAGAGCGGAGATCCCGGACAACCGACGGGGCCTTAATGCCCCTCCTCCTCCTCCTCCTCTCCCTCCTTCCCAGCTCTTCCTCCAGATTGGCAACGTGGTGGCCAACCACTTCTGGGCTGCCAACGTGCCCCCAAGTGAGACCATCGGCCCCGAGAGCCGCAGTCAGGAACGGCGGCATTTCCTGATCGCCAAATACCGGGAGGGGAAATACCGGCGGTATCACCCGCACTTCGGCAACCAGGAAGAACTCAACAAGGTCGGTGGCCGGAGGGCCAGAACTCGGGGGCTTGGAAACTGGCATGTACTTGGGATGGTGGCAACGCCTGCCCCGGGGGGTGGGGGTGGGTGGGTGTCGTGGGATCCCCCTTTGCGTGTCCTCTGACGAGCGAAGTCCACGGGGGAACCAGATTGGCTTTGCAACTAACTTAACGAGTGCAGTGATTCACTTAAGGGAGGAAGGAAGAAAAGGAGAGAGAAAGAGATACAATGGATGGACGGATGGATGGAAGGAAGGGGAGTGGGTAGGGATAGGCAGAGGAAGGAAGAAAAAGGAGAGAGGGAAAGAGAGAAAGAAAAAAAGAGAAAGCGAAAAGGAAGGAAGGAAAGAAGGGAGGGAGGAAGGAAGGGAGAGGAGGGAGGGGTGGGGAGAGTAAGGGAGGAAGTAAAGGGGAGAAAGAGAAAGGGTGGATGGATGGATGGATAGAAGGAAGGGGAGGGGGAAGGGGGAGGGAGAGGAAGAAAGAACGAGAGAGAAAGAAAGAGAATGAGAAAATGAAGGAAGGAAGAGGAGGGAGGGGTAGGGAGAGAAAGGAGGAAAGAAGGAAGGAAGAAAAGGAAAGAATGAATGGATGGATAGAAGGGATGGGAGGGGGAGGAAGGAAGGAAGGAAAGGAAAGAAAGACAAAGAAAGAGAAAGGGAAGGAAGGATTCTATGATTTCCATCTGGAGACCTGATCCTGCTCTTTGCAAAAGAAGAAACGAGGCCGGTTTCTGCAGAGGGTGGGTGGAAAAAAAATACACACCCCCCCCCCCCGGGGACTCTTGTGGAGAGAAAACATCCTTTTCTCACATTCCTTTCCCTCATTTTCTGGGTGACCCAACCAGTTTTGCAGGAAATTGGAAGAAAAAGCCCATTTTTTGGGGATTGTGGGCTGCTCCCTGATGGGCGAGACTTTCTTCCGCCTTCCAAGAACAACAACAGCTCGGAGCAGGACTCAAAATTAACCCCCTCCAGCCAACACTCCCCCCACCCACCCCCCGCTGCCAATCGGCCAGAATGGTGGGCCCCCTGCCCCCCCCCATAACCTGGTTCCTCCTTAGGCAGCGGATTCAACTCCTGCCGTTCCCTTCTACTCCCTCCTGGAAGGGCAGATTTGGCCCAAGTAGCAGCTGAAGGGCTTGGAACCCCCCCCTAATCAGTGGCAAAATGCAGCCCCCCCCAGCTGAGAAGGGGCAGATGGAGAGAGAGCCAAGGAAGGAGCATTTAGAGTCACTAGCGGCCCATAAGTGAGGCAGGAGGCTGCAGCAGCTAAGAAAGCAGCCTGTAAAACTGAGGACTAGAACCTTGAAGGCGGGCAGAACAAGAGGGAGCTGGATCCAAAAAGGGATAGGGAGTTTTTTGACCCACTTCTGCCCCATCCTGCAGGGGAAGGTTGATGCCGCAGAGTCCCAGGAGGGGACTGTTGATGGTGGGCGTGCTCCCCCCACCGGGGTCCCGGTCCAGAAGGTCAGCTGACCTCTGGTTGGGCCTCCCCCTCCAGCGGAGGAATCCTCTCTCCAACGGCCTCCTCAGGTCCTCCGAGGCCCGGGGTGGCTGCAGCCCAAACTATTCGGCTCTTGGAATCCGGGTTTTCCAACTGCCGGCCAATTCTGGGGTGGGAGCGGCTCTTGGCCGCCTCCTCCAGATGTTGTCAGCATCTGCGCTCCAGCGGAGCCCAAGAACTGGGACCGGCCTGGCTGGATCGTCGCCCTTCGGCCCCTCTCCGCCCTCTGCTCCTCCTCTGGCCAGTGCAGGGACCGGACGTTTGTCCAGGAACCAGTCAGCCTGCCTCCTTCTCTGCGTCTCCTCCTTCCGTCTTCACCGCGGTCCTCTTTGGATAGGGGGCTGGACTAGAAGACCTCCAAGGTCCCTTCGGACTCTTTGTTATTCTGCATTCTCTCCCCTTGGAGCTGACCGCCTTCCCCAGACCGGAGGCTCCTGCTCTGGAAGTGACTCCTTCTCTCCTCCTCCTCCTGCCCCCCCCTCTCCCCCACAGGCCCTGTGCACAGCAGTGACCACCAGCGACCTGGCCGAGACCCTCTCCCTGCTCTTCTGCGGGGCTGAAGTGAACTGCTACTCCGGAGACCCCGATTTCCCCACCCCGCTGGCCTTGGCGGAGCAAGCTGGCCAGAGGCTGCAGATGGAATTCCTGCTCCAAAACAAGAGCTCAGGTATGGGGGTGGGCTGCAAATGGAGAGGAAGGGGGCTGCGGGGGAAGAGGGGGTGAATGCCCCCCCCTTGAGGGGCTTCAGGGCAGAAAAAGTCTTCGCCTCGTGGCACGCTGGAGCCCAGAGGTTGCAGCTGAAGGAATAGGGGAGGGGGGGTCCTCCTGATTTCAGGATGGGCTGTTAGGCCCCAGAAAAGGGGGGTTTGAAAAATTAGCGAGAGTCAAAAGTGGGCTTTGGGGGGGCTGAAAGAGTGATTGCCTGCCTGTCACGGCTCCTTAGCAGAATGGGAAGGTGAGGAGGAGGGGGAAGAATGAAGCATGTTATTCAGGCTGGTGGCACAGCCCCCACCAGATGTTCAGGCTGGCGTTTTTATCCCCCTCCTATCCAGTCCTTCCCAAGGACCCTGGAGAGGCAGATGAGGGGTGGAATCCAGCAGGTTCTGACAGGTTCTGGGGAACCGGTAGCAGAAATTTTGAGTAGTTTGGAGAACCAGTAGTTGAAATTTTGAGTAATTTGGAGAACCAGTAGTGGAAATTTTGAGTAGTTTGGAGAACCAGTAGCAGAAATTTTGAGTAGTATGGAGAACCTGTAGCAGAAATTTTGAGTAGTTCAGAGAACCAGTAGTGGAAATTTTGAGTAGTTTGGAGAACCGGTAGTGGAAATTTTGAGTAGTTTGGAGAACCGGTAGCAGAAATTTTGAGTAGTATGGAGAACCTGTAGCAGAAATTTTGAGTAGTTCAGAGAACCAGTAGTGGAAATTTTGAGTAGTTTGGAGAACCAGTAGTGGAAATTTTGAGTAGTTTGGAGAACCGGTAGCAGAAATTTTGAGTAGTTTGGAGAACCGGTAGCAGAAATTTTGAATAGTTCGGAGAACCAGTAGTGGAAATTTTA